TTTTTTGCTTTTTTTTTGCTTTATAAAAATTGGTGATTTGATTGGTCGATCAATGTAAATCTCCCAAATAAGGAAATATACGAATGAAGCCCCATTTTCTCTTAGTGTCACTCATATGTAGACTATTATCCATATGTGCTCATTCTCTAAGTGAACTTTTCCAAGCATCGTAAATTGATGTATTAAATTCAAAAATTAACCTTAATTTGAAATAATACAAGAGGGTGTCTTGGGTCAATTAATTGGTAATTTAAATAAAATGTCATGTAATTATCGTACTTGAAATTGAAAATTGTTGAAGTTACCAATTTGACATGCTAACTAAAATTAGCCTATCCATTTATCCATATCTGAATTTATCTGGATATCCATTTACTATTGGTATCCGGATAACCCGACAAATATACGGATAATTATCTGGATATCTGAATAAATTCAGATTTGGATATCCAATAAATAAATGGATAAACGGATAATGGGTAGGAACTCTAAATTAGCCCTGAATTTAAATCTTGTACGCATTATTAGTAATTTTAGGCAGTTTTAACTAGTGTTGAAATTTTTTATACAGGAATGCTATTTTATTTTTTGTGCATAATGCACAGAAATTATTATTTTTGTGCAAAAATCAACACTAGTTTTAATTCAAGCAATGTAACAATGTTCAACTTCAAGAACGACATGATCACCAAAATTTTCATTATTATAAACCGATAAGTTCATTATTATAATTGCCAAATTTTATCATTATGAACAAATCAGTTCGTTGTTTTCATCAAAATTTTCATCGTTATAAACCGATCAGCCTAGGAGCTGCGGATCTGCTATATTTCACGATAATCATTTCACCGACTGTTCATATAACAGACATCAAGTGTAAATAACGTAATAAAATAGTTGTACCCCAAATATAAAGGGTATTACATGATTGGTTGTGGTTAGAGTTTTATTTAAAGACATATTGCATATCGAGATCAGCGTAATAAAGCATCAGGATATTTTAAAACCTGATTATAATCAGTTGCAAGCAGTTAATCGATTATAATCGATTAATTTGAGTGATTATTATCGGTGGGGATGTTTAAATCAAAATCGATAATAGTCGATTGTGATTAAATGCGATTAAATTAAATCGATTATAAACGATTAGTTTTATCATAGTCAATAAAAAACTTTATCGCGTATAGTCGGCGGGGTGATAATAATCGATTAAAATCATCAGATTTTAATCGATTACAACCAGTTTTCAAAATTTCCTGATGAATGACAAAAAAAGTAATTGATTGAAGGGTAGTTCTAATATGAAAATTTTTAAATTTAGGGTACTTTATATGATGTACATATCAATTGGCTTTCTGATATCTAACAAAGAATTATAATTTAAGGGATCTTTGATCAGATTATTGCAGGTTTAATGGCCAAAAAATAAAGCTCAATACTCAAAATTAACCCAGACGTCAAATATACTAGAGCTAGAATATGTAAAATTTTTACATAGATAACAACAATATAATTGTGTAACAAGGAAACTTATATAAGAAAAGTACATGAGTAGAATAATTTTTGTAAATATATACAGTCGTCTTCCTTTACAGTCAACTCCTATATAGTCACACTCTCTTTATAAAACAAGCCGCGTGATTATAGAGGAGGACGACTATAGAAATAAAAGTTTGTAATGATGCACTCAATTAAAAAATTTGGGTTTAATCTTCTATCTACTCCCAAAATATTATCCGAAAAGAATAAAAAAAATCAATTACGGACCAAAATTATTAAATATTCTGACAGACTCTTAACTGAACATGGAAATGAAATATGTCCAGGGTTTTTTAAAAAACCCTCTAAATCTTTCCAGCATGCCGATGATCCAGATTGGATCGGGTATGGTGATATATCCATGTCTCCTTATGATACTGCTTGGGTCGCAATGATTCCTAGTAAAATTTAT